AAAACTTTTTTAGTTTTAAAAGTTTAAAAAATGTTTTTTTTTTTTTTTTTTTTTTACTTATTTTTAGTTGTATACCATTTTATTCCTTTCTACATTTATTGCTTCATTATTTGTTATCTTGATGGTACCTGTCTGTGTTGTAAGCTATGGAGAGGAACAATCTGATGAGACTGGCTCACAGCATCCCGTTTACTCCTGTTTCCATTTTGGGTAAAATTCTGTTTTTTGACAAACAAAAATAGTATCATTACATGTTTTTTTTAATTATTATTTTCTACCTTTTCACTGCATTAACTTTTTTGTTTTCACAGGAGGGGAAGAAGTGAGCGTCTACTTTTTGGAGGAAGTCTGCTCTAAAGCTGAACCTGAGTCCAGCTCCGTCTCTTCCTGGTCGTCGCGGGTCCAGTCTGCGATGCTCAAGCCACTCTCCAGCGAGGAGGGTTCCCTGGACGGCGGTCTCCGGCAGGGCAGCAGGATGCTGTGCACCTGGGCACAGCAGGACGTGCTCCAGCCTGGTCAGATATACGTGGTCAAAGCCTTTAAGCCAGAGGTGATCCGTGCCTGGCAGAGGTACTTTCATGGGAGCACCGCGCTGCAGCTCTGTTTGAGGGTACTTTTCCAAAACCATCTCTGGAGCATTTAAAGCAAGACATTGCTGAGAGATTAGCAAAAGTAGCTCTTATATTCCCTTCAGCTTTGTAATATGTAACATGTTTGACATCCTGAAGGAGATCCAGCAGCAGAGAGCAGCGCAGAAGATGATGCAGGTGTTTAACCAGATCAAACCCAAAGATATGCATCACTCACCAAGGTGTGTGTGTGTGTGTGTGTGTGTGTGTGTGTGTGTGTGTGTTCTCCGAATCCCACCTGTAAGTGCACGTGTCTGCATGAACTGACCTTGCTCCCTTTCTGCTAGATTTCTAGATGTTTCTCTGGTGCTTCGGCATTCTAACGGCCAGTGGTTGACTATCGAGAGAAACTTGATCGGCAACTTCAGGAAGTACAATAACAACACAGGGGAAGAGATTGCCCCCTGCTGTTCATTAGAGGACATGCTGCTGGCTTTTTCCCACTGGACATACGAGTATTCACGCAGAGAAATGCTGGTGCTTGACATACAAGGTAAGCGTTTTAGTATTTTTGATTATTTATGACATGCAAATGCATTATGTTTTTCTCTTCCCTCTTTATTTGTATCTCTCCTTTATGTGGTTGACAGGAGTGGGAGAGGAGCTGACTGATCCGACAGTCATCATGGCAGATGACCAAAGGTACACAAATCCAACATGTGGTTTCAGAAGAGTTTTTTTTTTTTTTTTTTTTTTTTTACATGGAGCTTCATAACTCTGACACGAACTGAAGGCAGACAGACGAACCAGTTCTCCGCTTCACACTGTGACTCTCTGTCCGACCCCTTTGCAGCTGTAGCAGGGGTGAAGTGCTCTTTGGTCCTGATAACCTTGGAGACGCTGCCATCAACGGCTTCCTGCAGAAACACTCCTGCAACCTCTGCTGCCACAGGCTGGGACTAAAAGGTCAGAAATGTCACAAATTTTTTAAATCAGTAAGCAGCTGTAAGAAGAAGTAAGGGTCAGGAAATCTGGAGCCTTCCAGAAGTGTTGAACGTTTTTTCTAAATGTTGTCACTTTCCAACAACAAACTTCAATTTATATTATTTGGATTTTACCTGATAGACCAACACGAAGTAACGCATAACTCTTAAGTTAAAGAAAACATATTTTCAAAAGTGAAATTTATTGTTCATATCTGGAATATTTGGCATGCCTTCCCATTCATAAAATCCACAAGTCACTGTGGTCCATTTCATCTCAGCATAAATCTGCCTCAGAGCTTTGCTAGAGAACATCAGCAGACAAAAAAAAAAACATCATGATGATCAAGGGGGAAAAGTTTAAAGCATTATATTAACTAAATATGTTTTTTGTGATGTTTGAATACTTAAGAAAATAAATTTCCTCCCTAGATAGGCTGTTTTGCATCACCGTGTTGCTTCCTGTCACATCTGCCTTTTCCTACTTGAATGTCACCTCTCTGTCGTCACTCACGAGGCCAAGTTGGCTCTGAAAGAAATCCCCGACAACTTCAAATGAAGTCGGCGCGCACCAGCAGCCAGCTAATTAAGCAGCGAGTCTTCGTTTATTTCTCTAACAACAGTAGCGTTTGAGGCATGGGGGTGGGCCCTGCTTTGTGCGTTGTGCTGCGCGGCCTTTGATTACGTATTAATCATGTCTTTGTGCTGGCAATGTGCTGCTGAGACATTAGCTTTGATTAGCTATTAATTAATGTCTCTGGGTAGACCCGACACCGGCATCTAGAGGATAACGGCGCGGAAAGAAACCGCACTCGAAAACAAACAAGCCCGGCAAACAAACACACGAAGGCAAACACTCAGACACAGTTGTTTTGATATTTCAAAGGTGCGTCGTGTTTGCTCTTCCTTTTCTTGTGTCCTCTCCAAGATATCTCCCAACAAATCAAACCAAATTATTCATGCTGGATGTGTGGACTTCCTCCCAGGCCTGTCAGTATTCTCTTTCTTGTGATAATGACTGCGTTATTGGAGCGGCGTGTCGCTAACTGATGTTTCTGTTGTTCAGATTTAAGGAGGCGCCCAGGCAGCGGCGGGAACTGCAGCGAGGCAGAGCCGGAGTCGGGGAATGAAGAGGGCGATGAAGACGAGACGTAGACCGAGGAACGATGGAGGAGATAAAATAACACTCAAACGCACTTTTCCTACCAAAGATGTTTTTTTTTTCTGAAACCATGTTAGCCTTTTTTTTTTCTGTTTACAATGTAAACTGCCTGATAAGTGAGAGAGAGCCAAGTCTGCCATCAGATGTTTCTGACTGGACTAAAACTTGCTCATATTGTGCATTCATAATTCATGTGAATATAATGCAAAGAAACAGAAAACTACATGACATATAAGACATTTTTAATTTTTTTTGTAAAGAATAAATAATTGAAATATTGTAAGCTTGCACACTGTGAATTGTTGTAGCTCAAATAAAAAAAAAATCAAAACGTAAGACTTAAAAAAATAACAAAAAAAAGAGAGACAGAGATGCACCCATATAATTTCTTTTATTTATTTTTTTTCTTCCCACAACAAAATGTCTACAAAAGCAATAAAATATAGAATTTAACAAAAATCACTTCAGACCTTCACATTGTATGTACATCTCAAAGGAGGACTCACTGAGGCCTCCGCAAAGCTCTGAACCTCTCCCCAGTCTGGCCCTCCAGCTCTGGGTGCGTGGGACTCCCTTTAATAACATACGCATGCATGCAAATGCATTCTCCTCCTCAAGTGAAAATGGAGGCTCAAACTGTGTGTTTGTCTTTTTTAATATAGTGGAGCCAGATGTTCAGAGTCCAGCAGAGTCCCCAACAAGTGGGAAAAACAAAAGCAGAAAATGTAAAAACAATTCATCAGTACACATTTTCCTTTGAATTCCCTCCTTTTTTTTTTTTTTTATTATTATTGGTTTCTCGTGTAAACTCACACAGTAAAGCATCTATGCCCCATACTGCCAATCCTTTATCTCCTCACTAACTATGGCACTTTGAAAACAAAAAAAAGACTTTAAAGTTGGTATTTTTATATGTTTTTTTAAGTTCTGTGTAAAAAGAGGTTCTGCTGCCCGGATACCTTTCAGCTTCCAGACACAGATTGCTACATTTTTCGTTTCATTTTGCTCTTGCTGGGACGCAAAAAAAAAAAAAACATTCTAAAAAATAAATTAACAATTTTCAAAACTACTCCCAATTGCACAGACATTGTAATGCATCAAGAAAGTCTTACAAAGCATTGGTAGAGCAGAACATCGTCGCACTCTCTTCTGTGTCTCTAGCGCACGCACACAAGCTCACACACGTTTTCTTCATAAAAGGGAGGAGGAGGTCTGGAGTGGGTTTTTGACTGAGTGTATGAAATGTGGCTTTTAAATTGGCTGTGACAAAATGTCCGCAGCTCTCGGCGGCTGCTGTTGTGCGCTCGGTGATGTCATTCTGTGTTGATGGAGCAGTAAAAAGGCGCGTGATGTGTTCAGCCCCTTTCTCCCCTCATGCTGAACAAGCTACTCCATAACATTCAGAATAGATAATCCTCCAGCCCCTCCCACGTTGCCCCTCCTTCAGTCCCCCTACTGCAGGTGAAGGGTTTCCAAAAGGCCAGTTTAGAAAAGATCATTAACTCACTGATTTGTAGTAGTAATCTGCACATTCAGAGGGTGGGAAAAAAACCCAAAAAACATTTCATTTACGATGACAAATTTCAAATTGTTTCCATATAAATTAGACATTTTATTAAAAAAAAGAGAAGATAATTCAGCATGTGGAAAAACTTGCTTTGAACTGACTAATAAAGTGGTGTGAAATTTGCCCTAAACCCTTATCCCACCGTTTCAAACGACTCCCTCGCGTCAAGAGAGGAGGAAACACAAATAAGCCCCGAATATTTCATTGCAATGAAACGTCATGCAAATAGAACAGAACAACAATAGGCTAATAGTAATAGAAGAATAGTAGTCATAATAAGAACAATAATAATAGTAAATAGTAATAACATAAAAATAATTTTACAATGCAAACATGACAGTAGTAAATGCCTCCAGTTCTTATTGCTACAGTATCTTACTTACAGTGTTGGTTACCACTTGTTCTTGCCAACGCATCACCGTCCCTCCCACCCCGCCTGCAGGCTCCCTGTTCCACCCCTTTGATTCACAGTCTAACGAGGGAAAACATAACAAAACGGAAAAAAAAAAAAAACAAGACACAAAAACTTTAGAGTTGGAATTCACTGTCCCAGGATCGCTGTCCCCCCAGTGGACTTCACCCACTGTGCCAGTGACTTCACCAGCGAGCAGGAGATCACAGCTCAATGACAAGAGCACAGTGACATGTTCTATGTTTTTTTTTTTTTTTTTTACTTTTTTCTCCATCCGCACCCCCAGTCGAGGTGTAAAAATCGCTCATCGTGAACTTTGGCTCTCTACAAAACATGGACAGTGAATTCATCCTCTGCACACATACGCACAAACATACATATATAGACACAAGTCTATCAAAGCCTTGTCTGGGCGGATTTTTTTTTCTTTTTTTTTTTGAAAATCCTAAAAAGTTCTTCTTTTAAAGTTTTATTTATTTATTTCAGTAAATTTCCAAAAAATATTAAACCCTCTTTTAATGCAAAGTGAGGAAAAAGAGCTGCTCCCTGAGAGATGCTGCGTAGTGCATCGAGCGTTTACGAAGTGATTGTCTTTAAGAGCGACTGGCCTCTGATCTGTGGGCGGGGTTCAATGAAAGCCGCTGCGCTTTAAAAGAAAAACGACATTAATGGTGGAACGGACTGCTGACTGACCCGTGTTCCTCAGTTTTTCCCCCCTCCCCCCCGCAATATTGGAAACAAATGCACAGAAGGATTTCAATGCAATGATTCCCAGTGTCACTGATGCTGAACTGATGAATTACAAGTCTAACTGTGTCCCTGGTTATATCCGCTGGAGGATATGGCCACTGTGCAAATAAAAAAAAAACAACATTTTCAAGCATGAGAAACCCATTTAGAGTGCTTCATAGCACTAGATCACAGCCCACTAATCATGGCATCAAAATATGAGGTACAAAGAAAAAAACAGCTGAGCTAGATTGTCATTTTGTTTATTATATATTAAGGAGACGAGCATTAAATGTAGCAGTAAGTGTTTAGAGTTGTAGTTCCCAAAGTGTTTTTTTTTATTTTTCAACCCACAAGTTAAAAACTGATGAGACCCAAACTAACAGTTGAAAGGGGAAGCATGTATGTCATAAACATGGTATAATTTTTACTTTTAAATTTGATTTCTCATAACAATTCTCATGATAATTTCCCACCCCAACGTCGGGTAAACCCTCGCTGTAAAGGGGGAATCGTTTTGGTCAATGGCTAATATTGACTTTTCAATTTGTTCCTTCACAAGGATAAAAGCTCACTCAAGCCCAGAGTGATTTCACATCGTGCCCAAACACTAAATAATAATAATAATAAAAAAAGGTACAGTGTTTAAGTGCTAACAGTTATTGGAATGACTCAGTGGAGGAAAAAAAAAAGTGATTGTCTAACACAACTTTCTACAAAAGCGGCCAACGTTAAAGCTCAGCTACATCGTGGTGTTGAGATCACTGGCGGCATGATGAGATTTTGTCACACCGAAAACACAGCGGTGTTAGCAGGAGAACGCGTACCCAGATGATTCTGAGGCATAACTGGAGATCAAGAGCAAACGACATATTGCATCCTTAGTTATTAAAGTTGTCACCCTGTTCTTGGACAGCTGACAGAAGAGGGGTGCAAGACGAGGGAAAGGAGTGGAGTAAGACCAGACATGCTGTGTGAAAGTTATTGCTTTCTAGAGAAAAGGGTCCTACATATTCGCAGCCCGCTGGGCTGGATTGTGCAAATTGGACGGTGAGGGCGAACAGCACCCATCTAGATTTCAGTGATCAAAAAGTGTTTTCAATTCAAGTTTGCGTGGATTTTTTTTTCTTCACATTTTTAAGGATCATCAGTACATGTATGACATGTCTTTGTCTTGTATCTATTCATATCTTCCAAAACCTACTGAGAAAGTCCTGACAGGCGTATTTAACAGCAGGCTAGGTTGGGAGACGGCGTGAGCTTCAATGTGAGGTCCTGTTTTCTGATTGGTTCATTCAGATTGATTGTTCCACAGCAATCTACCTAGCATTGGACATAATTATTGCAGCGTGAAATAAACGACTGATAGGAAGGCAAATCTGCCAGATTCTTTTCCTTGCAAAATAGAAACATTTATGTATATATCTTCACCTTGAAAAGTAGTAGCCATTATTTTCTGTTTAAATCCTTCATATTCTCTCTTTACATTTCAATAGCTTTTGATCAGAAGGACAGCAACACCTTCTATACATATGAACAAAATCCAGACAAGGCTTCTGCATATCCACAAACCCAAAATTGGCCCCCAGTTTTTGCCCAGTTTTCTTTTACAAGTCTCAAACTTTACAAAATTCTGTACACAAGAATCTATCAAATAAAATAAAACACATAGACAAGGTATCGTCAGCCTCTCTGGACTGCTGTATATTTAAATTAGGACTAACTTATTTTAACAGAACAAGAAATAATACTGGAATCCGCTCTCAACTAGAAGGATATCTACAATAGCTTCTCTAAATCCACAGTTCCCTCCCCCATCCAGCTTCTCCAAATCTGCAATGTTTTCATTGGGGGAAAAAAAAGAAAAAAAAAATACATTTTTTTTTTCAAGATTAAATCAATTGAATTTACCCACCTTTTTAAAAAAAAATAATAAAAATCGACAGCTTAAAATTGTTTCTGGTTGTCTTGAAAGTCTGTACATTTCTAGTCAGTTCAGTTCAGGAGACACGTGGAAGCCCCTCAGAGGTCGTGGCTCGGGGCGCGCTTCACTTGTATATACATTCTTCAGACTGTATCGGTGAACAGAATGGGATAAGTGCAGGACATTCCTAGTGTTGTTGGCGTTAACTCTTTTAAGTTTCTAGTAGATTAATCCTCAACCTCCAGCCTGAGACGAGCCTGGGGGGGCAGGGAGGGGGGGGAGCTTAGAAATCTGTGGTTGCCAGAATGACGCGGTTGACGCCTTCGCCAGCATCTCGTCAGACGAAGCTGACGTAATTTCTTAGTCCTCTTTTGACAGCTGTTCGTTGCATTCGGACCGCGGGCGGTCACTTAGGCATGGCCATGGCAGAGTTCGGGTCGGGGTTGAACAGTTCCTTGTAGAGAGGAGGGAAGAGGACGTTCACTGTTTCTGGGTGGAGTTGCTGGAATGCCTGAAGCTCCTCGGTGTGGAGTGTACACAGGGCGGACAGTGTGGGGATCCGGCTGATCAGCTGCCAAACGAGAAGAGATGATCAAGAGCAAGATACTTGCATTACTCCAACCACCTCTGACACCAGACAACCTGTTGTCAGAGTTCAGATTGTTATGTGAAATATGTTTGATAAATCCTTCAGCCCACCTTGGCTAGTGCATCTTCGTCCATGTGGTTCTTCTGCATAATGTGCTGC